GATGAAGTATGAAATATGAAATATAAAGAAACTAATTCATTTAAATTATGACTCACGGACAGACCCTCTTTCTAATCCTGAATAAGAAAGCAAGGTCAAGGAACTATGGGAGTTGGCAAGTTGGAAGAGTAACAGAAAAATTAGGAACTGAACCACAGTCACAAACCCCAATATCAAGCCTATAAAATAATCCGAAAATTTGAAGGATATTTTAAAATATCAATAAAATGTTCTTCTCTACTAAAATCATGTATATAAGTCTGACAACAGAGGCAAATACATACATACATATACACACAATTGAAATGTATTTTTGAGCAATTAATTGATCAGCTGGTGTACCAGATTCTTAATTTTGGTTTAGAAATTGGTGCTCTAAACACATGCTAGAATCAAAAAGGAAAAAAGAACAATGTACCCACCCTTCAACTTAACATATGAAATAAATGAGCCTGTACTAACACAGAAGAAATCTATTACCTCTATCTGAACAATTCAGAACTATATCATACAGTATATCACTAGTAGGTAATACATACATAAATATCCTTACTAACAGTGATATAAAAATGATCACAGTAATACTTATGATGAACAGGTAATCTATATCAATGAGGATAGCCACAAATCAATGATACCAATCTGTAAATGAATTTCATACAATAAAATATGCCTATCTACAGTATGCATGTACATAGGCACATGCATGCATACACATGCATAGACACAGACTCACAAACACACACATACAAGCATTCACACTCACACAAACACACACACTCTTTCTCTCTTTTTCACTATGAATTCACTCTCTCACACAAATACACATTTTTCTCTCTCTCTCTGAACTCACTCACACTCACACAAATACATACATTTCTCTCTCTCTCTCTCTCTCTCTCTCTCTCACATACAAATACACACATTCACACACACACACACACACACACACACACACACACACACACAATAAAATGTGATAACATTTAACACTGCTAAACCCCTCATTTAGCATTGCAGCTAATAATATTTTGGTAACTGTTTCTTACTACATATGATAAAAAACTTTGATAGTCTACCTGGTAAAACATGAGATTTTAACTCCTTAGACTTCTTCCCCAATCAACAAATCTGAAAGAAAGTTCCCAAAAAAGGTCAAGATACAAAAAGAAACATGGAAAATTGACACCATATCCTCAATGCTTCCTACCCACTATACAATAAAATACATGCAAGTGGTCTTTTACATTATCATTCCCACCCCTAAACTTCTTTGCAAATTTTCCATAACTACACTATCCATGAATGAGGAAAACTGCATCTCTGACCTGTGTGTCTGAAGATAATACAATAAAAAATGACAATCAACAAAGACTACTGAACAACAGACAGACGATATGATGTAAAACAGTATTTTTCAACCACTTGGTACGGCAGGTCTTAAGACCAAATTTATCCCAATATCTGTTTCAGCTCAGTACAACATCAGACAGAACATCCTATCAAAGTGAAAAAAAAAAACAAAATGAAAAGCCAACATTAATGATAACAGTATTAACAATTTTAGAACATACATGAAATAACTGAATTTATAAGCAAATTAACTTTTAACAGATATCCACCAAAGTTAAAAAGTTGATAAAATACCGAAGAAACACTTTTGATTTGTATTTATAAGTACTCCTCACAGTATATATTTCCAACCATGGGTTTGTATATACTTCCTACTATAATCATAAAAAATTGTTGTGAAATATTTTTTAAAACACTCCTTGGAAAAGAAACAAGTAAATTTCAAAGAGCAAATATAATTCTGAATCTTACAGATACAATGAATTTAAATATAATGCAATGATTCATACTTTATTAGAAGAAAATGAAAAGCCCTGACGCACTGGTAGAAGTTATTTTATAGATAACTTGAAAGACTATATTAATTTATTATATTGTTGAAATAACAATGATCGTTTTTCATGTACATTGTGAAAGTAGGATCAAAGAATTTCTACAATATTATAGATGGCAATAAAATAATGACTAAAAATACACCTAATAAGTCATCTGTCACACTTGCAATATTTCAATTCACTGCCATTGGTGTATTACATAGTGATTTCTTGCTACTTGAGGAAAAGAACTGAAATATTGCTCAGGAAATACAAATTTGCCCATACTGAGGTCCTGCCAAAGTCTGATCTCTTTTATTCTAATGATTTGTACTTTTTCTAGCTTAAACTGGAACTTCATTAGAAAGACACCAAATCACATTATTACTTTAGTATTTCACTTTTTTGCATTAAAGTGTCCATGATAGAATCAGCAATTTCAACTCTAAAAACATAGACCAGAGGATATGGTGAGGTTGAGTCCATCATTCATTTATGTTCTGCACTGAAACAAATATTGCTCTTGTTTCATCATAAACAACTCTGATGAAATAATTCAAATACTCAATTTCACATGAACTTCACTGTGATTTTTGTTGAAAAATACTGTCACATCTCACACGAAAAGTTGTCATCTTCGAGCATCCAATGTCCGTTCCTTCCGTAACACAAGCATAGTATTCACAACCCAACATTACAAAGAGAAAACCGAAGTTTGATCCAAACACCTCACTTCACTTTCAAAGAAACACAAGTCCCTTAAAAAAAAAGAAAAGAAAAAAACAAACTTATTGCAAAAACAGAAAAATACACTAAATGAAAAAAAAGGAGTGTCAGGCAGAGTGAGTTTCCCTTCCCTCCCCTCTAGAAAGCAAAAATAAAAAATGAAGAAGAGTTTTCCAGCTCTTTCCCCACAGCACCACCTTCATCCACCAGCCAGAGATCAACAAGTGCCTAAACCCCTTTGCTGCTACAGCTTTACCCACCGCTGGTATACAAGTCAAGGCCACAGGGGGGAGAGGGGGAGGCTGTGGGGGGGAGAGGAGGGGGAGGTGGGNCTCTCTCTCTCTCTCTTCTCTCTCTCTCTCTTTCTCTCTCTTTCTTTCTCTCTCTCTTTCTTTCTCTCTCTCTCTCTCTTTCTCTCTCTCTTTCTTTCTGCTCTCTCTTTCTCCTCCTCTCTTTCTCTCTCTCTCTCTCCTCTCTCTCTCCTCTCTCTCTCCTCTCTCTCTCTCTCTCTCTCTCTCTCTCTCTCTCTCTCTCTCTCTCTCTCTCTCTCTCTCTCTTTCTCTCCCCCCCCCCCCCCATGCCCCCTCCTCTCCCTTCTTTTACTCTCACTCACTCACACTCTCACTCATTCACCACTCACTCACTCATGTTACAGCAACATTACAATATCATTGCAACAAATGTATCTTCTGTATGTCTGGACCACAGTCAGGTACACATGCACCTGTCTGTGACATACAGAGATATGTAGACTCCATCTTCTGAAATGAAATGAAACCAAGGCCTCGCAAGAAAATAGTCACACAGTGATTTTGGTTCTTTCGGTTTACATTGCAAAGAATTTAATATTTTCTATATTAAAAAATTTATCTTCATAGTATTTGGGAAGAAAAAAAAAACATATGAAGTGAATTATTAAAATTCAAGAAGAAACTAGAATTATAAATTATTGATACGACTTTTTAAATAGTTTAAAAGCTGAATTTAAGTTTTTGTATTTGTTTAATCATTTTTATGTGAATGAGTGCAGTTCTGAGAGAGATGTTGCAGCATCGTCAGTTGTGCAAGTTTGGGTTTATAATACCTTTCTTTACTAGGATTCATAATGAGATATACAGTTCTATTTTGGTAATTTGCATCCAAAATTACCCTCATCATTCTTTTCATCAATGTTTTTATTTAGTATTTACTTATTTGTTAACTTTATTGCTACATCACATTTTTGTGGACAGTCACAGGAAATTGATATTGTACTGATGATAAAGTGGATGTTATTGATGATTGCAAGGCTGAACAAAATAAATATAAAGTATCAGTGAGAAACATGAGTCCTATGCTTATTTTTTATATAAGGAAAGGACTTTTGGTAAATTATGAGTACTTGTTACTTGTTTACGTAAATGTTTTTGTTTTCTCAGTATTACAAAACTAGTTTTAATGCAACAAGAAAGTTGGAACCAAAATCACTGAAAGTGTTTAGTATTTAGAAATTATATTTAATATTGTTGTGTTTATGTCAGCAAATGAAGGCATAATCTTTGAAAAGGTGGAATGGTTTGCATGTGCTTCACTTATGGGAGTGACTATATCTGCTATAACCTTTTCCCAAATGATGTATGGCATGATGTCATTGTAAAAGTTTATTTGATCACAAAGGGTTCTTGAAGTTGTATTGCATCATTTAAGAGAAAATTAAAGGATGTAGCTGAATAGATGGAGCCCCTCCAACTGGCATTTTGTTTCACACAATAGAAGATGGAACTCGGGATAATATAGCGACTAAGTGATTTACAGTAACTGTTCAGATATAACCAGAACATGCAAAGGAATACTTTTTTTTAAGGGCCTATCATGTTTGGGTAAATGATACTTTTACACTGATCCTGACAATAAAAACAGAATATGATGATATCTCAACATTTTCTGTACTCCTTTCTTTCATCAAAAGGAAAGAGCAGAATCTCAGAACTTCATAATAGTCCATGTTTGTTTCTAATATTAAAAGGTGACGTGAGAATTAATCTACAATTTTCATGATTATGTTGATGTAAGATCAGAAAACAAAATAGAAATAACTTAGTTTCTAAGATTGTAATTTGTTGTCTTGAATAAAGTATTCTCAGTAAGTAATATATACCTATACTCAAAAAATTATTTATATTCTGAATATATGCTATTATGACATAATAGAATCTGATTTGATTTGCAAAGTAAGTGTAATATTTATTTCATTTTATTTGTTAACAAAAAAATGATTTTGTTGAGAAAAAATAAAAGTTTTGCCCAGATGGTAGTCCCTTAAAGTAATATTATAGTTGAGTATGGTATGACTTAAATTGGTAGGTTTATATGCATGTTTATTTAAGTGAATCAAAGTAGAACTAGCAGTGTTACCTCTTGTCACCAGCCCCCGCTCTCACCCTCGCCATGTGACATCAGTGACGATGAACTGGTCAGCATTAGTGTCAGGGATCTCAATCGGCAATTAAAGCTGCGAGGTCTCAGCAGAGAAGACATAATTAAGATGAAACAGCGCAGAAGAACACTAAAGAACCGAGGTTATGCTGCAAGGTAGTATAAAGAACTTGTTTTTTTATTTTTTTATTTTTTTATTTTTTTACTTTTTTGCTTTTTATTTATTGATTTAATTTATCTTATGATGATAGAATTGGAAGGGGTTAATCTTTTCTAATTTGAAAGATGATAGAAAAATAGTGCAAAAGTTTTGTGCATTTTTTCACTTTTTTCCTCTCAAAGGGATAGAATTATGAAGGACTTGCCCCGATCTTTTCCAGTTGCCGCATCAAGAGAATAGAGCAGAAGGATGAGTTAGAGTCAGAACGCACCACAGAGCAAGTTGATATTGATAAACTCGTTTCTGAAAATGTCAGCATGAGATCCGAAATTGACCGATTGTTCCAGAATTATGAAGCCTTGAAGAAATTTGCCAACCTTAAGAAACATACCTCTACCTCCTGATCTAGAGACCCTTTAATTGTTGCAAAAGCAAGTGTGTTAATAGTCATATATATATATATTTTTCATGCATTCCAATTGTAATGCAAAAAGAGTTCTTAAATGCCTTAATCAGTGGTTCAAAATAAGAGATTTATAGACGGTTATCAGGGCTGATTCCTTGTTAACACAGTTGTTTCAGGACTAACTTAGCTATTAAGTAAATGGGGATCTAGTTTTTATGATAGCTTCTCTTTTAATTCTCTAGAATAAGTCTTTATCAGATTAAAGTCTACAAGTCTAAATTGCAACATGTCAGTAATGTTGCCTTTGGATTTGTTTTTGTATGAGTGTCTGAAGTCGTACCTAAGAATCATTGAGACCATACTTTACTCTGTCTTCTAACCTTACTGGAATAATGTTAGTTCAAAACTTGTAGATAGTAAATTAAAAGAGTGTTAAGTGTCCAGATCATTTGTTTTATTCACCTGGAAGTATAAAAGTCAATATAGAATTCTGTTGTTGCAGTCTGCAATTTTACACGTAATATTTTATTGACATGGGGCAAAGTAAAGCAAGTGAAATTAAAAGTTGTTTATTTGTCTATGTAGTTCCTTATGTTTTGATGAATGCTGATAAAACCTGTTGCACAAAGGCTTATCTTGGGAGAAATGTTCCTTGATTTGCAGGTTTATTTAAATATTGATGATCATGTTCTTTGATAACGAAAGATGGTCAGTTGAAACTGCAAAAGATCAACCAGTTGTATTATATTATTGTATTATCTCGTCAAATTATGTTATGCAAGTCAACAGGGATCAGTTCTAAAATATCAGAGACAGTGATTTGGTATCATTTATTATTAAAAAAAATGTTTTTGCTATACCTAGTTTGTTGTTTTATATAACATGGTTTATAGGTATGTTTCAACATGCCAGTTATCTTGCTTACATGGGTATGCGTAACAGTTGCACATAGAGAAATAAATAAAAAGATAAATAGAGTAGACTAGCATGATATAATCACAAATTTCTGTTGATAAAACTTTCCCTCCTCTTATTTAAAAGCTGGGTGTCCTTGCCTCTCTCTTGCAAACTGTAGTGATAAATGGTGATGGTTAGAAATGCTGTGCAAGACATTACCGTCTGCATTCTATTTAAGTGGATCATAATGTACTGGTTTGAGGCTAAGGGGGATTCCCATTTCATATTTGGCTTTTTTTTTTTTTTTTTTTTTTTTTTTTTTTTTTTTTTTTTTTTTTTTTTTTTTGATTAAGAGCCATGTTTTAGTTGGAAGCACAGAAGTAGTAAAGCCAAGTATAGGCTTGCAAGATATATAATTCATCAGATTATTTTATTTATAGATGTGTCAGATTTTGTGCAATGATATGTGTCGTTTCATACAGGGAATCTTTGGATTTGATTTGATTTAAGCAACTTGATTCAAATCAAATGTGTTTGGCTACTGTATGCAGGATTTTTTATTTTGTTGGTCTTAGAAGTTTTCTGTAGGTGCTTTGATGTCTTTTAATGTCTTTAGACTTATTATATTTATTGATCATCTTTGGAGATTGTAATATCATTTTGTTTCATTCATTTTTGGTTGTTTATTTAATACATAGTACTTTTTTTCATTTTGGGTTACTATGTTTCTATCTAGTTGTTACATTGGTGTCATGAGACCTCTAGTCATATTACAGTATATCTGTTTCCTTCTTGGCATCATATTCATTTTTAGGGGTAGTTGTAGGATTGCGAGTTTAAATGAACAAGAGCTTGATGTGATTTTTTAGGGTTGATGAAAATTACATTTTGCATGGTTTGAAGGTAGTCTTTATCAAATCCAGATGTAGGCATTTGTGTGGAATTAATTGAAACTTTATAAGGAAAGTGTAATGCAAAAGTATACTTACTAATAGGACATGGATGGGTGATTTTACTTTTGTAATTTTTTACATATTAAAAAATATAAAATGCAGGATATTAGATTATTGATAGCTGTCTCTCTCATTATGATATAGAGGTTTATAAATGATAGTCACATTTTAAACTTCCATTGGCAGTATCATTTGAGTGCTGGAAGAGATACACCTCAGGATATTTGTTAAACAAGCTTCTTTAGAAATGTTAAACAAGCACTTAGGAAAGAGATTTCTATTATTCATATACTTGTTTTTATCCAAATGCAAATTTTTTCTTAACAGTGCAAGTGTAATAGTAAGGTGGCAAGGTATAAAATTTGATTATTCATATTTTTTTGTCATGTCTTTTTAACAACATATGTTTATAAAGTACACACCAAAGGAGCTACAAAAGAGCTAACAAACAACAAAAAACTTGCTGGTGTCACATAGGACATAAATTTGAAACAGAACTAGGAGTGTTACCTTTTGCCAGAAGCCCCCGCTGTCACCAACCCCATTTGACATTAGTGATGATGAACTGGTCTGCGCTAGTGTCAGGGACCTCAATCGGCAGCTAAAGCTCCGAGGGCTCTGCAGAGAGGATATAATGAAGGTGAAACAACGAAGAAGAACATTAAAAAATAGAGGCTATGCAGCAAGGTAAGTATTTGGATATGACTCAGAAAATGGTATAAAAAAGAAACTTGGTGCATGTTGTTTGTTACATGAAAAAAGGAAAATTAGTATATTTGAATGATAAGATTGTTTTACATTTGTATGTTTGTGAATAGCTATATAGATTGTTCTTTTCAAGATTGATGAAAAAGGATTCTTTATTGATTTTGATTGAAAAATGGAATTGGAATTTGAAATACTTCCCACTTCTGCTGAAGAAAACCGAAGGTAAACTCAAATATTAGAAAGCTTTTAGTTTTTAAGATAAGGTGTAGAATTATTCTTGCCCAGATTTATGATTAGACAAAAAATAGGAAGGGGAAGAAAATGACTCCATATCACTTTAATAATCTGAGGTTGATGTAATGTTTAGGAAACTGGAAATATTATATAGACCAAGGAAACAGCATGAAACTTAGCATGCAGGACCTGACAGTAAATAGAAAGGACAGCACTAAGCAATAGATTAAGGAGTTTGAACAAGATAAGTTAAATGGGTAATTTCAGGCATTAAACACAAACAAGATTTGCAGGGTTAAATTAGATAATACATGATAAGATCATATGTAATGTTTGAAGACATGGTCACATTGAAATTGGAGACTAGATGACTTAACACTGGACAAACAAGAAAAATATTTAGAAACTGTCACATTAAACACTAAGACTGTAAAGTTATGTAAAACATTTAGCAGACAATGATGCAGTAGCTTTTGCATATAGAGTTGGGTGTTAGATAACAAAGTCTGGATTGAATTGACAAAGTGACATCGTAGAACAACCCAAATTAAACAGACTGGACATCTTTGATACAGATTAAAGGGCTATTTTTCAATAGATTATACAGGTAGCATTATTGTTTAGACAATGTAAGCATATGAACATTTATCCTTTCAGTGGTGACTGTACCAGGGTTTGTGACCATTGAGAGAGCCTAACTACATATTACAAAGATAACATTTAGATTCAAGCAGCTTCAGGTAGTGGACCATTATGAAGATATATTAATACTAAAGCACTTAGACTGGATGACACTTTAAGTATCATTAATCCAGCACCAAAGACTTAGGGTGACTCGTACATTTAATTCCCTAGATATATAAGTTCATCATAAGTATAGTACTGGTACTGTTTTTTCTCAAAAATGTATAACCTCATCGTCTTTAATGTTTCAAACACACTTCCAGCTGTCGAATCAAGAGAATAGAGCAGATTGATGAATTGGAGTCGGAACGGACGACAGAACAAGTTGACATTGAGAAACTTATTAATGAAAACCACAATATGCGAACTGAAATTGATCGGTTGTTCCAGAATTATGAAGCCCTTAAAAAGTTTGCAGACCAGAAGAATATACCCTCCCTCCAGATTTGGAAACCCTATGATCTTCAGGGAAATGCAAGTGTTTTCATAGTCATTCTTTGTGCATTATTGATGTAATGCAGAAGTCCATGTTGCCTTTACTAATGAAGTTCAAATTCAGGATTAATATAAGTCATGGTTAATGCCATGTTAAGACAGTAGTACTCTTGAGTAAAACTGGTCTAACTTTAAAGACATGAAATCTAATATATAAGAATTCTGTAAGATGTGTTAATACTTAGACTATTTTTCTTGCTGTAGAAAATATTGGATATACTTACTATTTGTACATGTCCATGCAAATACTTCTACTGTACCTTAACTCGATCTGCTAGTGCATATTTTGTAGAAAACCCATTAAGTGTGGCTTTTCAGTTGACATCATCATGGTCTCATACTTGTGATAGGCTCTTGTGTGATAGTTTTTTTTTTTTTTTTTTTTTTTTTTTTTTTTGTAGTATTAAGGCATCTCCCAAATATCATCCCATTTTTCATGTTTGTGCATTTTTTTTTTTTTTAGGCTATCCATTATTTTTGTTAGCACTGATGTACTAAATTCCTAAATTATTCATATATTATACTCATTATATTATGTAAGGATTCCCATGCACTGAAAGACTAAACAACCTACTTCATGTTAGTCTAGCCATTACGTTTGCCAAGGACTTGCAAATGGACAGAATTATTTTAGAGTTGCATGTGTCCTTGTCATATGGTTTGCACTTGGGTTAAGATGATCTTGGTGTTAAGACACAGCAAAATGTGTATTAGTAGTGTTTGTATATTGTTCACTCCCTCTATAAAAAGCCCCAGTGCATAGTTGCATTTTATATATTAAGTCTTGCACCTGTGATAAGTCTCAGCCCAAATATTCTCCAGACTTGTAGTGTTTTCAGTTGATTTTTGTGTGTTGCCTTTTTTCCTTTTTTTGTGCACTAATCCTAATCTTTAGGGTAAATCTCATCATAGGATACTTAATGTGTTTATTCTTGTATTATCTTGTATTACTCAGATGAAACTTGTTTAGATAAAAAAATTTTTTTTTTAGTATCTTGAGAAATGGCTTTCCTGTAGTTTAACCAATACAGTAGGTATTTAAAGACACCAGTGACCATAAGATGATGATAAGGATAATAAAAGCCAGTGATACTACATCTATGTTTTATTTTCCAAACATCTATTATTATTTACTTTATCAATTAAGGTAAGAGAGTGAAAAGGTACAAAAATAGATTAATGTTTATGAAATATAAGATTTTCTTGCACTAGTCAGCTATTGTAGGGGACTGCTATTTCTATGTTTTTCCTTTT